TCTGGGAGCAAGTACCTCACCTCCACTTTCACAAGCAAAGCCCTTGCTGGTGGCAAGGTTAAAATGGAAAAAAACTGTACTGAATTAATGACAAAAGAGTTTTGCTTTGTCCAAATACAGTCAGCCTAATCCTTCCCAAATCCAAAATTTTCAGGGGCAAGAGCATCACCCTCTTGTGCTATATTCACATCACGCTAGGACATTCCTCAACTCTAACAAGGGTTAACATCTGTATCATAGGCAAATAGCAATTATTGGATAATCCTGCGAAATCCAGTTCAGTAAATCTCACCCACAACCAGATTAGCATTCCCAGTATGTGACCCAAAAAAAAAAAAAAAGACAAAAAGCAAAAAGCCTTCATGCTTGTTTCTGGGCCACTACTTCTTTTACTTCAATGTTATTAGCTGAAAATGAGTCCAAGTCCAGTAGCACTAGACCAGTATATAAGATCACAACTACCTGTTGACCACATAATGCTTTTGTCACAAAACAGAAGAGTACCCCATCAGAACATGCAAGCTCCAACCCCCTCTTATCTGCTCTGAAAAGTATAAACTCCAGATGGTCTAAGTTTTATGTTCAATCATCTCCTGTCTGCTCCTAGCAGGGAACCAAGCCCCACCTCATTTTTTTGAAGCAATTCCAGCTTAATGAACAAGGGGAGGTATTGATTTCTGCCTCTTTGGCAGAGTACTTCCAATGGGACAAATATGTAGTGCCTCTACAGGCTGTTCCTTTACCATGGAGGGGGGTGTCAGGACATGGACAAGCAACAGGGGGCTACCGCCTAACATGGAGTTACCCCATTTCTCTGTTGGACTAATAATGGTCTAATTAAGAAATCAGGAAGCACCTAGATATAGTACTAATGGTCCTGAACAACAGGAAAACCACCAGCCTGAAGAACCCCTTGCAACCACAATACTTGAAACACCAAACCAAGCCATGCAGGACACTGGATGACAGTTTATTAGCTGTACCACAGTGAGGAAAAACAGTACACGGTACTATTTTTTTTTTTTTAATAAGATGCAACAGCATATGACCCATGATTCTATTAATCAACTCTGAATAGGGAACAATGAAAGCAGTATGATGATCATTTTTCCATGCCCACAAGTTAGCTCCCAAAAAAACAAGCCAGTCATGTTTGAGAGTGAATCTTGAGAGTCCACTGCACATTTCATGTAGTCTCCTTCCCCCACCCCCTTTTTTTAAAAAAACAAACATCCATAACTGCCTCTGCTTGCTTTTATTAAAAACATACCCACTCACTAAATTTCAACACAACACTTAGCATGCCCATTTTGGTCTGCTCATGGTACAAGGACAACTTCAAACCTGGAAAAGTCTTTATTTACTCAGTTGAAACACCCCCAACTCCTGCCAAGCAATCAAGACAGTAAGACAACGTAATTTCTTCCAATGCCTACCCCTACAGTCTCCAGAAAAACTAGCTTTATTGCAGTTCTTAAACTTCAGTACATCCTTTCTGTTTAAGTCAAAGCAAACAACAAAGTAGTATTATCCCCATGACAAACCACAACTTTCTAACTCTTTCTTATATAAACTGAAAATGTTTTGGGAAGTTGGTAATTTTTACTTTCCTTTTCACTCTTCACAACATTAACTGTTCTGCACTGACATTTTAGATCGATTTAAAAGGATGTTTCATACTTTGTCATGTCCAGTTTGCTACAATTTGTGAACTAGAATGTCTTTTAATATTGCAGTCACCATAGCTAGAGTTCCTGGCACACCATCTATAACTTTGAACAGATTTCTCCATATTTTTGTCATATTTCATTTTCCAAACTTCAGCTGCATTGCACACACTCTCATTCAACAAAAAGATATAAAGAGAAGGCCTTCACTCTGTGTCAGTCATTTATTCCACATACTTCTACCATCCCCTCAAAATTAATAGGAACTCATTTTCTGCATCAAACCTTAACCCAAACTCATTGGCTTTTTCCCCATCTCTGAGAAATAAACATTAAAAACAAATACATGCATCCAACGACATACCAACCATTGGGTTATACAGGATAAGAATTCACCAGAAAAGAGGTGCATTTAAAACAAGAGAAATCATCTAACAGTCTGCTAAAGACAGCACTTCAACCTCTATACCTACTTTACCAGCAAAGGATGAAGTTGCTTTAAATAACATTGCACAGATTCATGCAAAAGCACTAGATTGTAATGCTACATACTTTTGCCTTTAGAACACTGCAATAAAACATTATTGTCAAAAACTACAGAAAAGTGTTTGGAAGGCTACATCTGTAACAACACAGGAAACTACCAAAGATTCATTACTGCAGCCTAACAGGGTAGTTACAACTTGAGCCTTTTAGCATCACCACTTCCACTCGCTCTAGTTACCAGGAGCCTTAGTCCTTCGCAAAACCAAGAGCTAGCTTCCTAAGACAACTCAGATGCAAAATTTGGAAGGAATGTAGGGATGGGTGTGTTTAACAGTTTGAATCTGACAGACATATAATGCTATTAATTCTAATAGCTAGTAAAAACCCCTATCCATACCACAGCACTGCTAACAGACGATTACAGCGCCATTCTGCAATAGGCTTGTTAAGTTCGTTATATTCATGACACAACCTAAAACTCTCATATGAGCCTCATATGGTAACTTGTAAATGGTATTTCACCAGCAGTGAGTAACAGAAACTACCAGACAAGCCTAAAACCCTCAGTAAGACTGGGTTTCAGAAAACAAAAGAAATGCCTTATGCAAAGGGACTAGGAAAAAAAACATAGCTGTTTGGTTCCCCGATCCCAAGGAAGAGGATTATTAAGCAGGGGATTTATAAATTGTTATGTATTAATAACAGATTGCAATGCGACTTACATATCAATAACATACAATTACTTAATATTAATTGTTATTAAGTCAAGGGAAAACCTGGCTGTCAAGAAGTAATTCCTAGATAAGAAGCAACTTCTCCATTCATAGACTACTTCTGCCAGTTAGGAGTACTGGGGTGCCACTTGAACACTTAGTCATAGGGACTGTCCCACCAGTCTCTTGGGGCACACGCCTGCTCCCCACCCACCCATTAACCCAGCTGCTTCCCGACCATCAGAGGAGTCATAAGAGTATCCTTCTCCCCTCTCCTTCACTTCCCTACTACCTCAACCACGCCATTATGCCACCTGTTATTTTCTTCTCCTCCAAGCCTTTCTGGGTCCTCCCAACTGAATAGCTCTGGTGTTGGCTTTGAAGACTTTTCTCAAGACGTGGCAGATTTACACTGCCCTGAGTCTTATCAGTTTTAGTCCTAGGCATTCATATTTAAAAGACCACATCAAAGCCATTGAAAACTTTCTATTTCGGTCTCAAAACTAAGTCAGTCAATTTGCACAACACTCAACTGTTAAAATTCATATTCCCCCTGCCCCTAAGCCCTTAAGGGATATGAATTTGTTTCTGCAAGCTACAGAAAGTGGAAGAAAAAAAATAGTGACTCTTAAAACACATTACGAGAAGACTTTTGATAATATGCTAAACTGAACCAAGCACCATGCAATTTTTCTCCTTCCCACTACGTACACAGCTTTTGTGTTACCTCCTCACTTTGTTCAGGATTTCCCTATTTTTTTTAAAGAAGCTTCTATCCTGCCACCAGCCCTGCCCTTCTGGCAGACCACAGTGACTTTGAAGGACCTCTCAGCAAGGACCACTCATATTTTACACAACCAGGCATGCAGTTGGTGAAGCACTATCCTCATTTTCATAAATCAAAGACAAAATATTGCATTCTAAATATTAAGCACCAATTCCACTATTCTACTAAAACTTTTTCCAGACAGCAATGAAAATTTAAGTACCATCTATACATTACCATTTTAAACAGTAATAGTATCTGCATATTCTTGTTAAAACTACATCTTAAATCTTCAAGAAATGCACGTAAGCAATGAAAGTTTACTAGTACCTTTATGCATAAACTAGTCTAAGCAATACACAAGCATAAAAATGACAAAGATGAAATATTTTACCCACAACATCCACAGCAGTGTGTTGTAGTGCTGTGAAATTCCATAACTATGAAGCATACAGGACTACCCCTGTGCTCAGTGACCTAGGAAGTGAATTACACTTTATACATTACAACATCAGCTGCCACCAACTATGAGAGATCAACACTGCACAGTTTCCCCTCCACACACATAGAGTAAAACTCAAATATGGCTGTTTTGATGATGGCCCATGTCAGCATCTATTCAAGTAGTACAACTAACGAAGTCTAGCCAATTCTATGACTATCTGAATTCACACGACTCTTCTTTAAGACCCAGTGGAGGTCCAACGGCATCAAGAGCAAGTTAACGACAGGAATTAGAAGTCAAGCACCCTACAACATGGGGAGAACAGCGATACTCTACAGCAGAAGTTGCTCGCACTGCAACTCCACTCGTGACCCGGCCAGAAGTCTACTGCATTCCTGCAAGGAAGATCATGGTTTTTAGTTTGTTTCTTTTTGTTCTTTGTTTTTTGTTCAGATTAGCTGGCAAAAGCCTACTACAGGATTAAACCGCCCTGTTCGGAGGCACGGGACACTGGCCACACCGTCTCCAAGCCCAGATGATGTGACCCAGAGAATCACCGGCCCCACTAGCAGCGTGCCGCTCTCGGACATCTCACATCGGTTTACTCACCGCAATACGATGGGAAACTCTAAGACACCTAACGAGCCATACGCGCCAGCCGAAACAAACAAACGGAAAAAAAAAAAAAAAAGAACAAGAAAACCAACCACAAAACCCCCTTAACCGGCTTACAGCGGGTAAGTAGCCCTTCAGGGGCGGGAGCAGCGCGCCAGCGGCTGGCGGGGCGGGGGAGCCCGTCCCGGCGCGGGGCAGCGGGCCCCCCCCTCACCCCACGGCCGCGCTCGGCCTCTGCCGCTCCCTCCGGGTCCCACGGGCACCTCCCGCGGCCCGGTCCCGCCCGCCCGCCCGCCCCACGCCATTACCTTCCGCCAGCAGCTCCTCGGGGGTGACCTGGTAGCGCCCGACGGCGAACACCTTGCCCAAGGCAACGCCGCTCCCCCCGCCGCCCCCACCGCTGGAGCCGACATAGGCCGTCCCGCCGCCGCCGCCGCTCCCCTCGGACTTGGGCATCCGAGAAAACTTCTTCATGGCGAGCGGGGCCCCGCCGGGCCCGCGGGACGGGCGCCAGGCGCAGGCGGCTGCCCAGCCCGGCGCGGCGCTGGGCGGCCGAGGAAGACGCCGGCGGGCGGGCGGGCGAGTGCGAGGCGAGGGGCGGCCGTGGCTCAACGGCTGCCGGCGCGGGGAGAGGGCTGCCACGGCTCACATGCCGGCCGCCGCGGCCCCCGCCCTGCTGCTCCTCACTCCTTCGCCCGCCGCCCCCTGACTGCCCGCACCCACAGCGACGCCCGCTCCGGGCGGAGGAGGAGGAGGAGGAGGAGGAGGAGGAAAGGGGCGGGCACGGCCCCGCGCCGGGGGAGGCGCGCGCGCAGGGACGGGGCGGGGGGGAGGGCGGGTAAGGACCGCGCCGCCGGGAGCGCCCGCCTCGCCAGTGTTGCGGTGCCACGGCGCATGCGCCCCCTCCCCCGCGCTCCCTCACACACCCCCGCGCTGCGCGCACACACACACACACACACACACACACACACACACCCCCCGCTACACCACACACCACCACACACCCTCCCGCCTCCGCCGCTTCCTGGCCGGAAGTGAGGTTGTCCGCCTTGGGCGAGCACGTGGAGCGGGCGCGGGGGGCGAGGGGGGAGCGAGGCACGTTGCTCAGCGCGCCCTCCTCCCTTCCCCGCCCCACGTCCTCGCGCCCGCCCTCGCGCCCCTGCGCGCGCGGTGGCCGTTGGGGGGTCCCCGCGGCCTTGTGCCCCGCCTGAGGGGAAGCCGCGGAGCAGCCGGGGCACGCCGAGGGGATAACGCGCGTGGGGCGGACGAGGACCCTCAGGCTCGGCGCCGGTCGGGTGCGGGACGTGCCCGCGGGAAGGGGCCTGCGAGGCGGCGCAGCCTGGCGCGGTGCGGGGATGGCGTGGTGTAATATGGCTCTGCACACCTTCGTCAGGCCAGCGGTTGCCTGTAGACTGCTTCCAGTGGGGGGGAAATAACTGCAAAAAACACTGATGACATGTAAATTCCCAGTGGTGGGTCTCCCCACATGCACTAAGCAACGGTTAGGACGTTACTGACTGAAAAAAAAAAAAGTGGTAAAAGGATGTATCTGGGCAGGAGAACAGCTGTAAATCTCCCACTGTGAAATGTACCGTCTTTGGACATCTTCCCTGAGGACATCTTCCCTATAGACATTGACAAAGCAACCCTGGGAATTTTCCAACACAAGCTTTGTTTCACCTGCGAAATTTTCAGAAAAATAAGAACTGTATTTGAAAAACAGTTTCTGAACTGCAAGAAGCCCTCTGTCCTACAGTCCCTCACTTAAGTTTGTCAGCTTGATTGGAGAGGCACAGAGCTACAGCAGCCAGGGAGCCACTGACTGTAAGGTACGTAGTTATCACCATGCTGCTAGATGGCAAGCGTGGCTATTTAAGGTAATATTTGTCACAGTTCCCTAGAAACAACTCTTGGGAAACACCCTACACTTCCAAACCATCTATCTCAAATTTCCAATTCAAATGCACATACTGACTGAAAACAAATTTCCAACTGTCCGAAATGCCAGCCACATCTAGTTTTTATACTTAAGGAGTGGTTCTAGTCATCCAAAAATGGTGAGAGATTTGAGTCACTGAAAAGCTAACTTCATTCCAAGCCTGCTGTCCTTGGGTACTCCCCTCTGTGCAAATATAAATGAGGTACTTGTGCATTTATTTCCCCTTACTGAGTGAAATCATACAATAATACAAAATTGATACAGGACCTCCTGTCAATCTCTCACATGAATGAATGAAGCAGCAGTTTTGGCTTCCATAGTGGGAATTTAACAACACAGCCTTTCACACCGAACACGTAGGTTTTGGATGGGTATCAATTGCAACCATCGCTTCAATAAAACCTCTGGAGAAGTCAGAAGCTTAAACCTTTGAGATAACGTTTCAATAATCTAATTAGTTTTGACTTAATCATATTGCTGTACTCTTAGTTGGTAACAAAATGACAATATTTCTCTATTGAAGTGACAAGTTGTCATACACTGAAAGCACAGATACAGCTATTTGCATTAGTAGTCCCCTTTCTGTAGTCGTTGCCATCCTTTCAGTAATGGGAGATCAATTTTTCAGCAGCATATAGAGACTCTAATTCACAGTTTTCCTTAGAAGAGAAAGGTATTTTGACTGCAGATGAAAGGAACAGAGTACTGTGAAAGGAATGGCATTTTGTTAATGAGGGCATTCTTACAGTGATATATGCCTGCGCTCCTTAGATATACTCTTCTAATTATGTCTTTGAGAAAAAGTGCAGCTGGGTTAAAAGAACATAAGTTCAGTGTCAGTGAGTAATACAACTTTGCTCATCCTCAGTAAAAATAAAGTATTACCTAAAAGTCACTGCAAGAGGATAGGATTGGCTTTTAGGTTAGCTGGATAGTTTTTATTTGTTGTGGGGGTCCCTATACCCACCCATATATTTTTGTTCTCTTTAAAGTAAAAGATTGAATTATTGCTTGAGTTATTTATAGGCTGGACAAAATGAGAACTCTTGTTATACTGGGATTAACACTACTAATCTCTTCCTTGATATACTAGAGGATGTAGAGGTCAACTACAAGGCATCAGCAGCAAATAAGTGTATCAGTATTGCTCACCACGTTGTGATAAACGCGTAGGTGGCCACAGAACTGGCTAGTCTCTCGTGAGTAACCTCAAAGTGCCACGCCACAGCTACCTTATGATGTCCCACAGCCCATTTAACTGCAGACTTGGCCCCCATATGGTCTTTTTCTGTAAGACGACAGCATGTTGTGAGGAGGTTTTGTGTTAAGGATTCCCTTTTATAATGTATAGGTCTAATGAAATTGAATAATAGAGACTATTTTGACAGATCTCTTAAAAAGTATGGGCCTGATCCTTCAAGTAGATGAGTGATAATTTTGAATATATGAATAGGCCTACTGGCTTGGATTTAATTCCTCACCTGAGTAGAATGACATTTTGACATTTCTAAAAGATATATTAATTTCCAGAAAGGAAGAGTTGTGAGACTTCTTTCACTCAGAGTATGAAACCCAGAGCAAATTTTGCTCTCCCTTATTGAAATGAAACCTCTCATTTGGTTCAGGCAGAACAGGGATGCTTTGGTCTTCTGCATCTGGAATATGTGCAGTAAAATGAACCTATTTAATGCAACACGTGCTTGACAGTGTGACAAACAGATCAGAAGGGTCTTTGCATTACTTTAAAAGAAAAACAAAAGCAAATTTTAAAACCTTGAAAGTACCCAGAAGCACAGTTATTTTCTGGTTGATGTGAAACAGTAGATGGTCTAAAGAAAAAATCCAGTGACAAAGAACAGCAGATCAGAAGTATGAATCTTAAGGTGATGAGAGATCAACCACAAAGGTGAAGAAGATGAGAAATCTTCATGAAATGGCTTCACTGAAGCTGGGATATCAGTTATCATTACTGGGCAGTGGATTGCTATTTGCTATATAACGTTTTTTCTTAAACCTTCAACTTTATGAATTGTGAAATCATAGGAGATATTCATCTTTCATTATCAAAAAAATAAAAGAGCAATAACGGTCAGCTTCTGCTTTCTATGACTGTGGAATCATCAGTGAACTTTTATTGCATGAAAACAGGAGAGAAAACAAAAAAGTCCCAGTCACATAATATGTGTGTCTCCATCACAATATTGGTATGTTTTGCTTCTTCCTTTCCTGTATTGCCCAGGGTCTACAATGCTGATACATTTTTCCTTTTTTAATAATTGTGTAATGACAGATCTATAATAGCATATAAATTATTCTACTTACTGTCTTTGTTCAGCACATAATATTCATATTGAAACTTCTCTGACAGTTAGTTTCACAAAAGCAAACCTCCAGATTTTTTTTTTAAATACAACAGTAACTGTATTCTCAATAGCAAGATAGTGAGAGTCATAGCTTGTGTCAGATAATATATCCGTGACTTTATTTCAGAGTGCTTGAAATCTAGGTCCCCCTCCTAACTCATGGCTGCTAGATAGCCTTAAGCATGCTCCTTCACCTCCCTGTACAAAAGTTTGCTGTCTATAAAGTCCAGCTAAGGCACTTTAAGTATGCTGCTTCACCTCCATATATGAAGAATTTTCCCATCTATAAAAATATTGTAGTGATTATATATTCCATTGTAAAATACTTTGAAGATTTATGGAGGAAAGCTCTAGATGAGAACACTAATTGAAAGTGAAACATTCAGGTATTTCACATGTGCTTGGAGTTTGAAATGTGATGATTTAATCCTCTTTAAACTGCTGAATAGTTCAAGTGCCTTTACCTTGATGACTGTTTCTTAAGTATGTCCTCCTTACATCCCTCTCATAACTCTTTCCTCTGTACAACACATAAATTGGTTTTAAATTAATCTCGTGAGAATAAAACAGCTTCATGAAAAAATGTTAAATATCCCTTATGTGAGTGTTGTTTTGGAAGCATCTCTTACTGTTCCTGGACACATGCTTTTCATTCTAATTGCCTGAGCTGAGTGTTAGAAATGTAAGGAAAAAAATTTCTAATTCTCTAGAAATACGTTCTTTACGTATTATTTTTTTGTTGTTGTTAAGTGTCATTTCATTGTTTTTCACCTTAATTTAAAACACGGATCTGTGTCTTTGTAATACAGACTTACAAGTGTTCAGCAATTACTGCAGTAAAATTTTTTGTACCCATACGGGTATGTGAGGGTTATTTTCTATTTTGTAATAATTCAGTCAGTGTGGACAAAGCACTGCCAGAGAGAAGGTTTTCCCAATAAGCACTTCTAATTCTTTTTCCCCTCTTATCGCCTCATTGTTGCATGTTTGTTTTCCTCTGGTCCCCTGGGAGCCGTGAGAAACATAATTTTACACAGAAAAGTAGCTACACAATCTTCTTATCTTAGTAAATAAAGTCTTAGTTTCATACTGCTGACCCTGATGGAATCTGTTTTAGACACGGTTACTAAAACCAGGCAAAATGTTTCTGATGAGCTAAAAGCTAAGAAGACCCCAAGAGACAACTGGTTTGGGTTTGTTTTCTAGGATTAAGTCATACCCCAGCTCCGCATCTCAGAGTCAGTAGTAGTAATGAAAAGCTTTTTTTTGTTTGCTTCATTATATATACAGCATAGCAGAAAGATTTTGGTATGTTGTGAAACATGTTGGCATGAAAAATATGTTGATATGGGGGAAAAAAGAAAACAAAGAAAAAAAGACTGAGATCACTTGGTGCAGAGGGATGGCACAAATCAGCTAGAAAGCAA